CACACACACACACACACACACACACACACACACACACACACACACACACAGATAGAGAGAACTAAGACAACTGCAGTGTTAGGCCTCAATCCCATTAAGAAGTCAAAGTTAGCAACAAAACCTCCACTGCCTTCAGTAGTGTAGGATCAAGCTCCATGATGACAACAAAAGGGTTAAAAGCAAATGCACTGAACTGTCTTATGGCAGACTGCCAGAGGGGTATCATCTTTAGCATAAATGATGACAAGGGTTATTTTAACAGGGCACCCAGGATCTCCAATTAGTCCTACAATGTTAATGCCTCTATATAAGCACTGCCCTCTAGTCTTACAGAAACCCTCTAACCTGCAAAGGTGCACAAGATGTTCCATAGCTTGATAAGATTATTTATTGCTGATAGAAGCATTTATATTTCTTATCTCCCTTTTAATTAGCACTGTTGCATATAACAATAAATTATAACAAAAAGATACCTTTTAAGAGCATATATATTTAAACTGTATCTGTTCAGAGAGTCAATCGCTGGCAAACAAGCCCCTTCAGGGTTGCTTGGAAAAGCTCACACTAACTCCAGTTTGCCCAATAGGCTCTACATGAAAGACAAGGCTAAAGACTTGCCAATATTTATTTAGTTCAGGAGGATTTTTATTTTGTGCGTGTCATATTTTTTTTTTACATCATCTTTTAGTTAGACCACTCGGAAGAGAGAAAAGACCAGAGCAAAAATAGAACATGTAAACTAGCAATTTCTTCACTGGTTTTAATTAAACTTTGGAGAGCTTTCCAAAATGCGCGCACACACACAAGGCTTATAAGCAGTATTTTTCCTAAACTCCCAGAGCACTACCTGACTGAAAGAGGGAGATCAAAGTCATGTAGTGGTGTCACTGTTGGGTATCTGTAGGCAAACTGTATACAGCACTTTAGTTTCATATGCAGTATTAACCCTGCACATAAAAAATAGTTAAAGAGGGAGCAAAATGCTGTATTTGGTTTCTTTATTCCCCCATCTCCATGCTTCCCCCCACAACCACCATTGGCTACATTTAGGATTACTACATGCACCACGCACTGGTATTTCATTTTATGCAATGAACAAAAACATATTATGTTGTCCTATAAATTACACAACACAAAAACAAATAGCTTTTAAAAAGCAAGATGACCTCTTGACCAGATTTTGATGTACATTGTGGATATGAAAGGTGGATCCCTGGTAGTGTGATAAAGGTATCATCTGACTACAAATCAAGCTGCTAAATCTTTTAGCAAACTGTCACTAGTGTCCTTCTGTTAATGTGAAAAATGTTATACAGTAGAGCACAATCTCAGCTGGCTGATCACTCTTGCTAGCACTTGGCAAGACCTCCAAGTGCAGCAACTTTATAACCTTCTAGTATTATAGGGGAGAGCATTGGTCAGTGTTCAGTGCTAAAAATACAACATGATTTAAACCTGAAGGCAGTGTTAGAGCTTTTGCTGAAGGTTTACGAGTCTGTGTAAACATCATGTCTGCCATAAGAAGCAGTGAAGTCTGTAGAATCCTTGTCTAAAACTGTCCTGGCATTAAAGTTTGCTGTGCAAATATCACATAATACCAGAGACAGCTGAAATCTCCTATTTAGGAATTTATGGAACTTATATATGTTTGCAGGCGTCAGAAAGTCCTTTTTATATAGCCCCAGTGCTTCACTGTACAATATTAATGCACTCTGTTTGAAAAGCCGTAATAAATTATATTTTTAATGCTCTTACCCTGGCTTTCTTAAGATGCATACATTCTTGGCAAACAATCAATAAATAGGGTAATCATGAGCAGAGGCCAAAGAATTTGCTGAAGTGCTGTTTTTCCATTTTTAATAGATAAAGATCTAACAATACGGACTGCTGTGTCTGTTCATTTGAGGATCAATATATTCTTTGTTTTCGCCAAACCGAGGAAAAAATAAATGATTGTATGATAAATGTTATGCATCAGACACAATGAAATTCCACTGCCTTCTAACTTTGTGTGTTTAATAGTCTTGGTTGCATTTTATCCTTTGCTTAGCAAATGCAAGAAAAATCTGAATTATAAACATATACCAATTATACTGAGAAAAATGTAGAAGCTGTTTTAAAACAAATGCCAAATTCTATACAGCATGTTTTGATTTAAATTAACAAGCCTGCAATACATGGTCAAAGTGATGTGTGGCTATCTATCTATATAGACAGATACACATACACTGTAGTTAATTTTAAAGTATTCTAATGCAAACAAAAGCCATCCATCAATGATTCTAAATCCGTTTTTTCCTTGCGAGAATGTCTAATTACAGCAAACCAGTCACTGAAAAATATGACACCCAAGTTGTTCATTGTTCAATAATGAATTGTACTTAAGAAAACAAACGGCAAAGATTGACATCATAAATGACTTTTCCAATGTGATACCTAAAGATTTACGTACTCTCATTTAAGCCTACTTGCAACTGTAATGGAAATACTGCTGACCTTTCTAAGCTTGGACTATCGGTGGGAGCAAAGGCAAGAATTAAAGTTTTTGAGGTCCTACGCGTCTTTTTATAAAGTTTGCTGTTGCTTAGCAAAAACTCGCTCAAAGAGTAAGTTTATAATAATCAGTTCTCTTTGAATACAAAAAATAGGTTTAATTATGGGAGCTACCGTTAAGTTAGCCTTTACCTTAACAAACAAACAAAAAAAAAAGGGTCAGACTCCACCCTGCAAAGCAAGATGCTCCACCCAAGCATGAAGCTTCTATTTCCCAAATGTGATTTACATCAGAGCTGGGAATAAAATATTTTTAGAATAAATATTCAGCATTGAACTATAAGCCTACTAAAAGTATGTTTTTACCCTAAATGCCACTGAATATAGTTATTTTTCCAGTGCAGAATTATTAAAAATATTACCTTTTCTAATATTAGTTCTCATCAGGTGTCCAGAGTGTTTTAAAGGCACTCCTTGCATTTTAGTTCCTGTACTTCCAAGTCTTCCTCTTCCTAATGGGCTCCCATTCTGTTCCAAGCGCACAATTTTGGCTGGTGGACCCTTCGGATCGCTTACATTGTTAGACATTTCTGAATGTTCTTTCCCCTGAGTTGCCTCGTTCAAATGATCCATGCTCAGTCCCGCCTCTAAAGATCACCTGCCATGATTCAAAAAAAAAAAAAAAAAAAAAAAAAAAAAAAAGGAAAAAAAGAAAAAAAAAAAAAAAAAAAAAAAAAAAAAGGAAAAAAAGAAAAAAAAAAAAAAAAAAAAAAAAAAAAAGGAAAAAAAGAAAAAAAAAAGAAAAAAGAAAGATGTTGTACACGTGTGCGTATACGTGTATGTACACAGTTTACACATGTGTAGAGTATGTATGTATAGTAAGCTCATAAGTAAGCATAAATGAAGATTTCAAGTATTTAAAAAGAGGTCTCTATAAAAAGGTAATAAATTTGTCTTCAAAAAGTAAACTTCATTCTCCAAATTACTAGAAGATTGCATGATTCAAGGATTTTGTTAAAGCTAACTACAGTATGCTAGAACAACTGGGCAGCCTAGGAAAAGGCATTTTCCTCTCATGAATTCATAAGAATGGGAATTAAATAGGTGAGGGTGATTTTCAAAGTATATATTCCAAAATACTCATTGCTACAAATATCACAGATGCTTTTATCTAAAAATATATATATTTTCTAATTAAATTGTTCTCTTCTCATAAATAAGAGAACATCATAACTTTAGAGGAGTGTACTGATTTCTTAGCAACCTCAAAAATTTGACTGGATGGGGTTTGTTTTTGTATTCTTCCAAGCTATTTTACATGAAGAGTTTACTAACTTTTAAAAACTTAAGTTATAGACATGATAATTAAGATGCAGTTAAGCTTTCAGGATAAGTCAAATATGAGGTCCTGAAAAAAGAGATGGATAAAGAGAAAAAGAGGAGAAACACTCTATAAATCTCATGCAGAAGAACTACAATTTCTATAGAAATTTAGGGTAGCTCAGCACACAGACTCCTGGTGATGCAAAGTTATGTACTGGCACAGATGTCTGAAACCAAAACAACGGAAGCAATTTCAGTATCAAATTAAGAAAAGGTGCATCTTGGCATGTTTATATTTCCTGTTATACAACTTAACTAGAATTCCTGTTCCTAGTTTCTGTCTCTCTTATAAATCCCTAGCCGAAAACATATAGAATGATTTTAAAAAAGATTTTATTTACACAGAATCTATTTTAATAACCATGAAAGCAGTCAGTTACTGAAAATAAGTGTGCATGTACCTGGTTGGGATTCATTTATTATTATTCAAGTTATATTAGAATCTTCTGCCCTTTTCTGATTGAGGTATGACCACACTGTCTATTTTGTCATGTATATAGTATAATCACTAAGGACAGGTGATTAGACATTCATTTTGTGAAGTAGTATTTACATTACTGAATACAAATACTAATACTAGGGGAGTCATATTTACAAAGATTTGCATGAATCGGGTAATTGCTACTTACTTCCTGTTGCCTAGTAATTCAACACATTTTGTACATATTTCACTGCAAAGCTATTTAGGTATGGATACCTTGGGAGTTACCATATATTCCGTAATGTTGGTATGTACATCAGTAATTCTATAAACATTTTTTTCTTATTTGAACATAGGCTGATTTGTCCTACCCAGCCAAGAAGAAGAATCTGTATTAATCTAGATGTTTACAAGCAACCTTAAGAATGGCACCGAGTGACTAAAGTTTAGAAAATAATGGTGACTTATCCTTACGCTCTGAGATGACACACGAAGAACCAAAGATTTAACGTTAATTGTGGTTTCAGTTATAGGTCCAATTAACAAATAAACGTGCCTATTTTAGCCACTTTTGAAATTGAAATTACTTTTTTTGTTGCATTAACTTCAGTCTAATGAAAACACAAACAGGTTCACTGATTAATGTCTAGCAGCATTTCCTTAGGATGCTGTGGTACTATTAAGGCTGCTTTTCTGAAACTAGTCTCTCTCTTGAGAATAAAAGGATTAACTTAAATAAAGCTATAAAGAAGAAAATCCCAGTCACTTTCGGTAACTTAAAAGTACAGTTTGGTACCAATATTGTTACAAGAAGTATCTAGTCATCTTGAGTCAAAATGGCACTATATTATGTACAGTGAATAAGAGTGATGGATCACAATTTAGTTAACATATTGACTACTACCAAACCACCAAACAGGTCATTCTAAATTGGCCCTGGAATACCTATCCATAGGCATGTTTTAACCACTTAGTCATCTTATAAAAAGCCTTATGTTACAAAGTTAAATTGCATGCACATAAAACACCTAATTTACTTATTTAAACTCCATGCCCAAGGCTAAAGTTCACCAAAACCTCAGGTTTGAAATAGCAATGAGCAACAATCAGCATGGCCTGCCCAGCAAGACAGTGCTACAGATTAACTACTATTTCTTTATGTATGCCAGGCCAAGAGTTTCTTCAGGGCTCTTGTTAAACATCTTTTATAGCTACAAGTTTCTATCCAAGCCATTTATATAAGGTCAGAATTTCCAGGTATAGTTTCAGAGATTGTACTCATGGACACACAGGGACCACACTTTGAATGTACTTCAGCGTATTAGCTTCTATTGTTGAAATAGAATAGTATTACAGCATTTCTTTAACTTCTCATTAAATAACCCCCTCCCCTGCATTTTCCCCTCCTCTTTCCTCCCCGCCCTCCCTCCTCTAAAAACCCTAATCACATTTAAGAGAGGCTCTTCTCTTATCCGTTCCATATGGCTTTCACAATCCAGGCCAAGCTTTCCCTGTGACCTTTTAAAGAGACAAAGAAGCAAAGTACTATCTAGAAACAGAAACACTGCAGTTTTCTGAGTGAAATTAGCAAAACCGACCCGAAACTCACCACTTCAAAACTTGACAGCATATAAATAACAAAAACAAAGAAGGTTTCCTTTGCAGCTCGAGCTCTTGAAGAGGAAGAAGTTCAAGACTGATGTTTTCTAGGTCCCTTTTTTTTTTTTAAAGGGAAAAAATACCCAAACAAAAAGCCAGCAGACCTAAAGGCTACTTCCCTTAAAATTCTATTATTTTTCTTTTTTGTTATTTTCCTCTAAGCAGGGGAGGGGCAAAAATAAATAGTGAGAAAAAAAGGAGCCATGAGCAAAATAGCAATGGACAAAAAATACTAAGAATACCTTTTCAAGCTTTAGGAATGGAAAAAGGAAATTAAGATCAAATTGACCAGGCAAGTGTAGTAATAAAAATGAAAAAAAAGTTACAGTTTTTAATTGAGCCGCGGACAGCTTAAGCCTGGCTGTCCTTTCAAAAATAAAATCAATGCGTACAAGAGCAAGTGACAAGGTGGGCAAAAAAGCTTTTCTATCCAGCGTGAAGAGCAGAAAGTCTACTTCTAGGCTGTCACTTACACTGTTATTCTCCAATAAGCCTACAGCAGAACAGCACATACACACAAAAAATGAATGTGCTCCCCTCCCCCCCAAATACTAACAAGCCCCCAAACTTTCTGCCTAAACCTTAGCCCCAAAGATCTCTATTGGGGAGAGAAAAAAAAAAAAACTGCAGGAAAAAGGCACTAAAATGCCACTTTTAAATTTCCCCTTGCCGATCCATAAAAAAGAAGAAAAAAAAAAAAGAAAAAAAATTGGCAGAGAAGACCTGTCTCTTCTCATTTACCGGGGCTGTTGCGAGAGAGAGAGAAAGCAAGGAGGAGGAGAGGAGGAAGGAAACACGCGCACACAAGGCACAACACCACCACCAAAAAGTAAAAAGATTTCACTCCCTCCCAGTCCAAAAAGGAGGGGGAGAAATTATCATTCAAAAAGAAGTTTTCTATCTATAGCTCTTCCTCTCTCTAGATTAAAAAAAAAAAAAAAAGAAAAAAAAGAAAAAAAAAAAGGGAAAGGAATAGAGAACTCCAGGAAGAGTTACTCCAAATAAATAATAATAATAAAAAAAGGAGGTGGGGGGAAGGGAAAGGAAAAAGGTTGCCAAAAAACAAAACAAAAACCAAAAAAACAGCAACCAACAACAACAACAACAAAATCCCAGGCTCTAATTCTTGCTGCCCCTGCCTGGCCGAGCAGGATGGTTATTTAGGCCAGTGGGGTGGTTGTTGCTGGATGTTACAGGGACATGTTTGTGTGTGTGCGTGTGTCCCCGGACGGAGCTGCTCTGGTTCGCTTCGCTCCCCCCCCTCCCCTCCCCTCCCCTCCCTCTCCCTGTTTCTGTCCCCATTAAATTATTAGTTGACTCATCACTCCTCCTCCTCCTGCTGCTGCCGCCGCCGTCCCCTGCTCAGATCCTGCTCTCCTCCTCTCCTCTCCGCCAGCGCTGCCTGCTGCCGCCGCTGCCTCTCCTGCCGCCGCTGCTGCTTCTTCCTCCTCCTCATTTTAATACAAAATAACACCGAGGCCACCGGCTTTTTTTTTTTTTTTTTTTTTTTTTTTTTTTTTTACAGCCCGAGATAGCAGCGGCAGCAGGAGCAGTAGCAGGAGGAGGAGGAGGAGGAGGAGGAGGAGGACGACAACGACGACGCAGCCTCCCTGCTGCTGCCCGCAGCCCTTCCCCGGCGGCCCCGGATCATCCGACGCGTCCTGGGAGAGAGAGAGAAAGTGGCAGAAGAGGAGGAGGAGGTGGAAGAGGAGGAGGAGGACGACGAGGAGGGGGGGACGGGGCTGGAGTGCACGGCGGGGTGGAAGGAGTCGCTCTGGGGTGGGGTGAGGTGAAGTGGGGTGGGGGGGG